CAGTTGTAATCCCAGCTATTCAGGAGGCTGAGGCAGGAGTATTGCTTGAACCCAAGAAGAAGAGGTTGCAGTGAGCCAAGATCGCACCACTGCACTCCAGCCTGGGTAACAGAGTGAGACTCTGTAAAAAAAAAAAAAAAAAAAAAAAAAGAACCAAGCTTTTTCCTTCATAAATGTGTACGTACATGGATATAATTATTTATGACACTGTGCTCTCTCGGTTCTCCCATGCCTCCCTAACTACACTTTTTCTCTGACCCATTTTCCTCATATTATCCCTTAGTGTGAGATGGACACTTAGAATTGTCTTCTTCCAGTGTAGCCTCCTCCTCAGCAATTGCAATTCACTCTTAAAACTTCTTCTGCCGTTCTCTAAAAAGTCTTCCTATATATATACAGCTCTGACCTCTTTCCCAAGTTTCAATTCAGTGTTTGCATTTTCCTGCAGGATGTTTCTGCTGGCGCTTAGCACTCATCGTCTGTCTCCAGACTTGGTCGTGTGTGCTCCATTTCTATTAATGACACCAGCATTTCCGGCTTACCTGGATTTTAGCCTTTACATCATCTTTGACACCCTCCCACGCCACCACTTCCAACCCCTGCAGAAATGGCTCCAAACAGCATCTTTCCTCTTCACTCCTGCCATTCGTTTGTTATTCAGGCATTTATACTGTTTGCCTTCTTAACAAGGGCTTCCGTCTCCAGTCTTTCCTGTACTTCAACCTCTGTGAAGCTCCCATGTGCTGTAAAACTTTAATTAGGCCATTCACATTCTGCCAGTTATTGATTTTGTTCTCCATTCTTGTCTTCACACAGCCCCCATTTCAACTAAGCTCATAGTAGGTATAGCTACCCATGCTAGTCCCATCGCTGCCTGCCTTTTTGCCAGTGTTCGTGAAGTCACCTCTGCTGGGAACCTGTGTCCCATAATCTTTTTATGTTCAAAGCCTACCATCCTTCACAGTCCAGCTCCTATTCCATCTGTTTTCTTGAAGTTTTTTCTGATCTTGCTAACCAGAACTATGATCCCAGCCTTAAGCTTCCATTTTACTTTATCCGATGACACCAGCAGTTTCTACACACCATTATGGTTGTTTGTAGTAATGTGCCGTTAGATTGTAAGCTCTTTAAGGAAATGATACATGTCTGGATTTGCCCCTTTATCTCCTCTGTTGCTGATCATAGTGTTTTTATGTAATGAAGCCTCCGTAAAAGGCTATAGAAAGGATGTTAATGGTATTGAAGGAACCGCATTTCTTAAAAGATAAGCCTACAAGTGGGTAGTTTAGAAAATAGTTACAGGAAAGATAGTGATGCTGCAAAATTTATAGGATAATGCATAGAAGACTTGCACAGGAGGCATCTTGATGTGGATGTTAGAACCTTAGAGGAAATCACGGGAGAATTGTTGAATGTTAGAACCGGAGAATGTTATAACTGTTAGAAACCTTACAGGTTTTTATATCATTGGTTTTCTGACTGGGTTCAGTGTAACCTTGGGTTACAGGGAGATGTCTTGGGGCCTCGCCTGGGGGTGTGAGTGAGGGGAAAGAGGAAAATTGATGGGGACCCATTTCTGCTTCCCATAAGTATTATGCCTAGTTCAACTGATGAAAACAGCTCCGCTTTTATCTCTTTTGCATACATGTACAGGGTTCTGTTTAATATTTTTAAGGTATATGTTCTTTAAAAAAATTTTTTGAAAGGTACTTATCTAGTCCAGTGTTCTTACTTTATATATGAGGAAAATTAAGTCAAGTAGTGTTCATCGGTAGGTCCAAAGTCCAGTATAGTGGGAAAGCCAGGATTGTTCCCGCTGTTATGGCCTCCTATGGCACCACCATGCTGCCTGGCATCTCTGTAGCCACACAGTCTTACAGAGTCTTTGAAGAGCAGGAATTGAGTCTGAATGTTTCTATCCCAGCCTTTGATACAGTGCACATTAAGAGAATTTTATATCAATTTGCTCGTCTTATTAAACGCTCATAGAATTACTAGAGTTTTCCCCTTAAGCCAGTTAGTAGCAAGGATCATTTATTTATTCACCTATTCCACAA